AAGAAATTAATCAAAACTAACAGCATTTTGCAAGGCTCTTTGGATCAATGTTCTCTAGTCTTCACATTAATTTTTTACTACTTTGAAATTATTCCCAAGTGTTCCTTCCATGCTTGAACGATATGCAAATTATTGTCTGCCAACATCCGCAAATTGAAATGACCAAGGCAGTGGTTAATTATTATCAATTCAACAAAAACTCTTACGATTGCTTTGCGATTTCATCAGCTAATGACAGTTGCAGAGAGCTTTCGAATAGCAAGATGGCATTTAATCGCTCACCAGTACATTCTACTGTTACCTCTAAACACCCAAAGCTGTAATTTTATTATTGAAAGCTATCGATTGCAAAATATGAAGTAAAATTTTTTGACACGGCGTGAAGGTTTCCGTTTCCATAAAGTAGTTAAATGACGTACCTAACTCAATTAATGCAGGTCTCCAATTAATCTAATTGCCACAATCATCAATCTCATCAATCAAACAACGTCGTTGTATGATCAATAAAGAAACTGAAGGTTGTGCCCTGTTTCATATTAACAGAAACCCAATATAAAGAGGTGCGATTGTCCCTGGACGGGCATTAATGAATACCGACAAACAGATCGCAATGTCCAGCCCATGATTCCAATGAATCCTGATAATATATACAGGAATTAGCATATTGAAGTCACAGAGGCGTAATCAGTGCAGGCAGTGAAGCGAAAGATTGTCTCCCTATAACATCAGCCGTCGTGCTGCTATTACTACTTGTTTTCTTAAATTTACCGTTGATTGCTCGGCATTCGATTAATTTAATGGAATCTGACGGATTGTTTATAGAAAATCAACACGAAGGACTCGGAAATGTGTCATTAGAGGAAGCCTGACCTCGCAATAATCAAGCGAGAATTAATTATTATGCAGTTTTGTACAAGAACGATCGAAACAAAACTAATAAGACGAACCGGGAAAGGCAACTAATTCCTTTCAATATTACGAGAAATGTGTGAGGAAATACGACATGTATCTCTTTGGGGTTATTTATGTGGTCTAATGAAATAGTAGCATCCCCTATACCCTCATGTTCCAGTTGATAGCAATTAACACTTCTAGAATAATTTAGTGTTTTTGAGGTTGCTATAATTACAACATAAATAATTTTTAGGCTCGGATCTTGCTTTCACCCTCAAATAAACAGAATCGTTTATTGTAACTGCAGCTTATAAATTAACTTAATAAAGTCACATTTAAGTTACGGTACGAATCAACTTCATAATATCAAAACGAGAACTTACGTTAAATATGCTTAGTGTCATGAAATTTCTCTTTGGATTTTTTGCAGCTGGTCTTGATATTTTTCAGCATTTTATTAAGCACAGGTGTTATTTCGTACTCACGTAAAACATTGTTATTATTTTTTAAATTATTATAATTAAGGTAATTTTTATAATTGGCATAAACAATCAAATCATTTTTATATCGGGTCATTTGCAAAAAGATGAGCACAACCTGAATTATTTTGCTTAAGGCGTTAAAAAACTGCGATATTATTTATACGGGATTTTACTTTAATCTTCTGAAATGACGTCGTCAGCTTTTTTAAAACGATATACAGAAACAAGAAATTTGAATTTTTTTATTCCGTTACTGTCCCATACTAGAATGAAATAATTCATTCGTCAAAATTATAGTAATTTTGTCACCAAGTAATTACCTATCCAGTTTATGTACTAGTAATGCGTAAACCTTTCATAAATCTTTTGCAAATCAAAGTGCCTATTAAAGGTGCAATTACACTAATCCGTTGGTAGTCGATCAGGAAGTGCAGCTGTTAAAGTTAAGCTTTTCTAACCTGTCCACCAAATTACTTTTTAAAAAATGACTGGAAGCTAGAATATAACAAGATCAGTGAACAAAGGTCGTTGTCACATATTTTATAGACTGGTCTTACCTGCTGCACATTTGGTGAGCCATCGATCATATGGAAAACTTGCACTTTCATTCGTTTGTTGCATGAGCTATAAACTACGAATACCTAATAATATTAGTTTAGTGTGTCCATAATCCAGTTTTTGCAGACAGGTCTGAGAGAGTGACACACCGAGCCGTATACACTTACGGGCGAATCAGAATATTATGAACTGAATTATTTAACTAGATATGTGTGGAAAATGATCTTAAGTAAAAATAAAAGCAGACAAGAAAAACTATATCCTATAGCATATTTTAGAAATGTTATAAACTTTTTAATTTTTTACCGTAATAGTTTTTAAAACTTAATTAATAAATATTGTGATACATAACTAAGCAGAGAAAACATATAACTACTTATTTATCTTTTTAGAAATTACATCACTGAGTTACAAATTTACAACACTGTTTTTTATATCACATGTTTGATTAACACGTCATGATGCTTAAAATAAATGCAGTGGTTTGGATTATGTGCACGCTATTTGCAATTCCATGTCATCAAACGTCGATTTTTAACTTCGAAGTTATAATATAAATTCTATTAGAATTATACGCAGTTAAACTCTCACGATGACGCTCTACTTGCAAAGTTTTGTTACCCGAGAATGTGAGATTAAATTTAAAACATAACACCTTTTTAGTTGGTCATTGTTGATTATTGTTGATATCTAGTTATTTCTTCATCTCTGCTAATATTCTTGAAGTGTCTGCGTGGTGATTTTGAAATTTATTACTGCATTCCGACGTTACAAGGAAAAAAGTCATCATTAATTTGTTTGAAAGACTTATCAAATATATCTAGATGTTGTTCTGGTAGTGATATTTGTCTTTTGTAAAATCGAATATTTTCATTTGTCATCAAATTATTGTAGAATTGTATGAAAAGAAATTACCGAACCAATCGTCCGGGTGACAAAATCGTGATAAATATTTAATCTGTTTGTAGTCAAATCACATGATCGAGACATTATCCTGGAAAATTGTTGATAATGATTAATTAAATAATTAAAGTTATTCTGTATAACTTTAAAAATTCATTCGAAAGAGGCATTATTATTTCGACAAGTGTAGGAAGTTTTCGAAAAATGTACTTTCCTCCAAAATTATCTTTTATATTATAATTTGTGGTAGGTATTCGTTTAAAAAAATATATACGGTACTATCAATCTATTTTCTGAATTTTATATTTATACTGTTACGTTGATCGGTGAATAAAATCGGCGTGGGTAAAACTCAACAATTTTATTTCTCAGTAACTCCAATTTACACGACTAATTATACAGCGATTATGTACAGAATAATTCCGACTCGACTGGAATGGATTCGACTAGAGTTCTCTCATAGTCTGGAGTTTGGACTATACTAACTGCTCCCAACGGTGGTTTCCCGTTTAAATGACAGCGCAGTCCTTCTCGAAGCTGTCCGCCACTGCTTCTAGGCTTATTCCGGAACACTCATCGCGACATCCGCTTCCAGGCGTTCCTCCGGTCGGCGCCACCGACAATGAGTCATCATCGCCGTAAACGGAGTGGCAGTATTTTTTACCAGACTCGAGGAAAATATTTTATTTCAGAAGGTTATTTCCTTTATATTCAAGTGGTCATTTCCGACTAGGTGAGGTAAAAAATTCTTGTTGGGTATTAATTTTTTTACTTTAAAGATTCGTGTTTTTTTCCTATACTTAACAAACCTTAACAAATGATCTTGGGCACATACGTTTCTTGTAACTTCCACCTTTACCACTTTACTGAATATTTTGATTCTAAGATAGCTCCTGTTGATATTCAATTACTCTTCTAACTCAAGCCGAAGTTTTTGAAGGACAGTGTCTAAAGAAAGAAACTTTTTGGTAAAACAGCTTTCCTTCTTTTAATGATGATTTATTTATAAAGACTTAAGAGATTCACGGAAGTTTATCTTTTTATTAGATTTTACACGTCTATTACAAATATTACGCATCCCGTTGATATTGTAGACAGGTTTATTTTCTTTGCATTTTTTTTTTCAATTATTGGTGTCGTTTGTATATATTGTTTAATATTTTTATCTATTCCCTTTTTGGCTGTATTGAACATAAAAGAAAATTAGAAAATACTGTTTTATAACATAGACAATCTTTTTATTCCAGTTTTCTGTCTTGGGCCTGTAAGGATAAGATGCTTCAAACAAAATTAGATAAGGCACTGGACTTAAATTTCTTTGAATGGATACCATCAAATTTCACACCAGGCATTTTAAAGATAAATATCCATAATTTATTTAAAAAACACATGTGGCAATTCTGTAGAGTCCAAGTCCGGCTATGTTGTTGTCATAACCAAAGTCTAACCCAACTCACTGTAGCCGAATAAATTTTATTTATTTTTTTGGGTGTATGTTCATTAAATGTGACCAAGATCTAACTACAAGATAAATTCCTTGGCAACAATTGAGCATTTAAAAAAAAATGTGTCAATATAAGTAACACACTGACCAGACGGTTCATTATCACTAGAGAGCGTGTTAGTGTTTCCACGAATACTGGAACATTACTAACTTGCATCACATCCTCGGCACTTTACTAATTCTTGAACTAGTTACATGTTCGTTTAGCAAAAACTTAATAAATAAGCTAAGTGGATAGTTATTGGGTAATATATGAGTTCATTGGCATATTTAAAACTCTAATCGCAAAACAAGTTTCTTACAGACAACACAGAAGCTAGTGGTCTCAATAAAAGAATTGCAGTTGTTCGTGCTTATTGTTATTATGGCTAAAGGCGCTGCAGATTATGAATCTCCTTTCACTTTTACGGAAGCGGTTGAGCTTAGAACATCAGACACTGATAAAGTCAATGTACCCACCTATAAACTCGCTTAATAGTAATTATCTTTTTTTAAGCATTGATTTTGTAGCAAAGGTCGGCCACAAAAGGAGAGCACTTGGATTTTGTTCAGTGTTTTTACCGACGGACGGCAGATTTTTCCGGGATACTTAGATCGGGTGATTTAATAATATAAACTTTGTTACAATTATTTTATTTTATTTTATATTTTCTACAAGGCACACACATACATATATTTACAATAAATACATACACACTGCCTCTTACATATTCTAACACGAACGGTTTATAAGTTAGTCTACTTATATAATATAAGCAAGTAAGAAAAGAACTGTGCTATATTAAAGAACACTATATTTTTCGTACGTTTGTGGTTTCAGTATTGCACCTAATTTGAGATAATACTGGGTGTAAACAAATATGATGTTTACTATCTTGTATTTAAAAAAATTCTGACAATGATTGTCAAAATGGCGTATACTCTTTTCGTCAGAAAATACATCGCTACTATGTGCAAAATTATTAATAATGTACAAAAAAAAATTGTCAAATTTAATAATCACTTTATCGTTAATCGTAAGAAAGTTTACACAGATATGCAAAACTTTAAACTTTATAAAAATGTTAATGTACAATTTTCCTATCTTGCGTTGTTATACATACATGAAAAATTTCTACAGATTAATCTGACGCTGAATATGTACATGTAAAGCAGTAACGCTATCAAGAGTAACTTTAAACAGTCATTTAAAAAGTAACTGAATTACGGGATACAAAATAGAAGGTATATACAGTTTGCCTCATTGTGCTTTTATGTACATTAAGTGAATTCTGAGCAACAATAAGTAAGTACTGTACTGAAATTGTAAACGCCTTCTGAGTGATCGAATTTTTGGTTGATACTCTTCATGCCCAAAATCAGTCTTAAAAAACTAACCGCTAAAATCGTAAAATAACTTGATATGCTCCACGATAATGGACGTTTTTATGTATCTTTGATAATAGAACTCAACTAACAATTAATATCTATACACTGTATTCGTTCAAAACGCTCAAACTTAATACCAATAATAAAGAGAAACATTGCTAAGCACTGTACGACTGAGCTAAACCCTACTTTCTGTTATCTATGCAAAATCTATCAGGTCGTACTTTATGTTTATGTTGCCGTGCTCGTGAAGAGCACGGAATTCTTGTAATACCCGGAGCGGTCCTGCAGCGGCGACTTCACGTCTCTTTCGACTTGTTGCTGGCGAGATTTTCGTTCCAGCTCGAGTTCTTGAGCCAAGGACTCTGAAAAAAAGAAGAGATCTTAGTAACGTACAATTAACGATCTTCGATGGTACGTAATAAATTAAAGCATATGAAGAATAAAGCATGTCATTAGCACCATTAGGTGGTTGTGATATGATAATAATGATAGAATATAGAGAAATTATTTCATTTTTATTCTAAGTACTTATCCAGATTAATTTGCTGTATAAACTACAAGTGCTAGAGACGCTCTTACTTTAGCAATAATCTTCATCTGTACTTTAAAATTGTTAACAACGTTTGCACGTTGTCAAGTTATCGGAGCCAGTGGACTGTAAATAATACGGTATTGTCGACGGATTCGGGAAAGATAACAAGCGCGTGCATTCTGGAAGTATGGGTCGTTACATTTAGATACTTATACGAAACCTGTTAGATTCTAGAGTTAAACCGTGTAGACAATTTTATAATGCAAAAGAGTAACTGTTTATATTTAAGAGAAAAAATAAAATGTATAAATTAGTATTATTATTTAGCTAATATTAAAACGTAAAATAATAGTTTCATTTATTTTTTTTAGGTATGACGTCATCAATTTTTTAGTGGGAATAAATATATTAATTCTGATAGGTACAGTCTAACAGAAATTAAAATGTAAGTTTGTTACCAAAATTGTATAAACTTTAGACAATCTTTGTGACAATTGCATACTATAAAAAAATGTACCAGTAAATTAGAAACAAGATCGTTATGCATAAAAAACGTTTTAGTGCCATTTTTTAAATTAGGTTTGTGGAAGTAAATATCTTATTTTTGATATCTACAACTTAACATTGATATAACTTTATTCTATTTCTAGTTTTTTGCACAAATTATATAGTACTTACTTCATCAGGCGTATTTTCAGTATAAATTTAGTTAATATTTTATTGTGATATTATCATCCGTTTTAAAGACATATGTTTGTGTTCAGTAAAAATTAACTAAATAATAAAAAACAAAAATATCCATTATGAGTTTATTTATTTATTTTTGGATAAACTTTTATATAAAACTGGACTGTTGGAATTTTTATTTTTACGAAAAGCAATGTCAAAATGGTGATTCAATCACAGGGACTAATTTTAAAATACAATTTGAATGCAATTTTCCAGTGCATTGTGCTTTTGTTGATCAACAAACCACTACAAATTATAAATTTTATTAGTAAAAAGACGTCAACTTCTAATTTACAGCTTCCAATATTATGAATCTTTGTGTGCTGCCAGAAGTTCAGACTGACTCTCATACTTCTGAGAGAAATATTAGCATCCAGCAAATTTCACAAATTACTTTCACTGATTACTTTTTTTATGATTTTCAGTTTTTAAGTAATTTTTTGCGTTTCTTACTTTTTTTATTGCAAAGTTTTACATTGTTTTTCACTTTTTCTACACCATTCATTTTTTGGGTTACTGTTAACATACTATATTTTAGATCTGAATTATCCTTCTTTATTTTTATCACGCCTTTAGGCAGGCTTTTGGTAATTATCTGTATTGTCGACAGCATTTTCATGCTTCAAAATTTTAGGTTTTTTTTTTTGCTGCGGTACAAGTCATTTTTGTGTTTTCGGTTAACGTATGCTATTTGTCAAAAATATAACGTGAAATTTTAATTATATTAAATATTGTATTTTTGACAGGATTTTATGGAAGTATCTATCTAATTTACAAAAAGTTGTAAACACTAGTTACTTTTTCATGGTGATTTTAACTGCTGAAATTATACCTACTAATTAATAAAATTTTAAGTCTATTACAAACAACCAATTTTTCTTTTTAAGACAAAGTTATAATGTATTTTGCCGTCCAAAATGTGTAGAGAATATTACCGTCTACTCGGGAGTAATCTTTACTTTTTTATTAAACTATCTATTTTTACTTCCCGAGCGTAAGCAAAGGAAGTATTGTAATCGAGTCCGTCGGCCGACTCTCTATTTTTACGTTTTCTCGATCTTTCATGACCCTAGAAGACGAAGAAATAGGTCTCCCATTTCCGTCTGCCTGTCCGTCTGTCCGTCTGTCTGCCGTCCCGGATTTTTATTAGACAGATAATCTCCGAAAGTACTGGACCGATTGTTGTGAAATTTTGTACTTATATTAGGAATATCATGTAGTCACGTCACTTCAAAATTGTACATAGTAAATGGGTCTTAAATTGTATAAAATAACATAGTCCTATACATGTAGTTTACGACTCCGAATTGAGTTTTTGTCCGAAACGTCCAGATTTTTGGAAAAAAAATCAAAATAGTAAAACAACATTTTGCAATTTAATTTTGAATCAGCTAACCTGAATGCTTTGAAATGTTGCACATGTTTTAAGGCTGTAAAGAGCATCATAAATCTTTAGTCAAAATGTATTTGATTATCCCTTCCAAAAACTTGATGACGTCAGCTTAAAAGTTTGCCGAATAAATCCGATCTAAAATGTATAAAATATGATGAGCCTGTACTTGTGATTCATATTTTTTGGATTTGCATATACAGGGTGACTCAAAAAAATTAATGAATGCGTAAATTTATTTTATTTATTTACTCAGGAACTACAAAACCGAATGCTTTGAAATCTTGAAGATGTTTTAAAGTTATCATAAGCATGGTAAGTTTTTGATCAAAATGTATTTGCTGACCCCCCCTAAAAAATTTGTGACGTCACCACAAAATTTTGCTGAATAAATCCTATCTAAAATGTACAAAATATGATGAGTCTCTTCTTGTGATTTATGAATCCGTTCATATTTTTTCGATTTGCATATACAGGGTGACCCAAAAAAATAATGAATGCGTAAATGTATTTTATTGATTTAATCAGGAACAACAGAACCGAATGTTTTGAAATCTTGCAGATGTTTTAAGGTTATAAAAATCATAATAAATCTTTAGTCAAAATATATTTGCTTATCCCCTCCAAAAAATTGATGACGTCAGCTCGAAAATTTGCCGAATAAATCCTATCTAAACTGTACAAAATATGATGAGTCTGTACTTGTGATTTATCACTCCATTCATATTTTTTTAATTTCCATGTACAGAGTGACTCAAACAAATTAATGAATGCGTAAATTTATTTATTGATTTACTCAGGAACCACAAAACCGAATGCTTTGAAATCTTGAAGATGTTTTAAAGTTATCATAAGCATGGTAAGTTTTTGATCAAAATGTATTTGGTCATCCCCCTAAAAAATTTATGACGTCATCACAAAATTGTGCTGAATAAATCCCATCTAAAATGTACAAAATATGATGAGTCTCTTCTTGTGGTTTATGATTCCGTTCATATTTTTTCGATTTGCATATATAGGGTGACCCAAAAAAATAATAAATTCGTAAATGTATTTTATTGATTTAATCAGGGACTACAGAACCGAATGTTTTGAAATTTTGCAGATGTGTTAAGGTTATAAAGAGCATAATAAATTTTTAGTCAAAATATATTTGCTTATCTTCTCCAAAAAACTGATGACGTCAGCTCAAAAGTTTGCCGAATAAATCCTATCTAGAATATACAAAATATGATGAGTCTGTACTTGTAATTCATCAGCCCATTCACATTTTTTGAATTTACATATACCGGGTGATTAAAAAAAAATGATGACTGCGTAAATTTATTTTATTGATTTATTCAGGAACTACTAAACCGAATGCTTTGAAATCTACTTCGAAAAAAAAACATAATAGGCATGCAGTCGTCACGTTTCCGACAGCGAGGGAAGTACTGTCTAAACTCTTTAGACCAATTTTTTTAGTTAATGTTTGTAGGTAAATGTAGGCAACCACCTCTTTCATCAGTTATGCTTTTGATTTGTTGGGGGAAGGTCCACTATTGAGAGATCAGATGATTTCGAAGCAGCTGTCTAGAAAGTATGCAAATGAAGTGACCCTTGTTATCGACACAAATTGTGTATTTACCTGAAGGTTGTTAAATAAAAAACTATCATACTGTTTTAATAAAAACGATTGTGTTCTGGTGCCAAATTAACATGTCTTAAATAAAAACTGTCAAATTGTGTATTTTTCGTTTTTGTTTGTTATTTTGCTTACAAATAGTTCTGCTGTCTATAGTATGCAAAAGTTAAACAAACATTAAATAACATTAAATTATTAAAAATTGAAAGCAATGGTGGTTCATTTGAATGAAATGTAATAATTTTATACTACAGAATATTCTTGGATTAGCCGTAAATTTTGATAAAACTGTCTCTTACTTACTTTTAAGATAAATAATAATTATAGTTGTTGCATCAAGTTGGGCATTTTCGTAAAAAATCCACTCTGAGTTATTTTTACCTTGTACTTTGAAATTGGATTAGTATAATACATAGTCTTACAACCTTCAGGTACGTAGACATTAGTTTAGAATGTAAGAAGTAAGATTTTCTTAATAATGTCTAATGATTTTTAATATCTTATGAGTTAAAAGAAAAATTCTCGTCGACTATTTACAACAAGCACAATTATTTTCTAAAATCGTCGATGCTTTTTTTCAGGTTTGAATAAAACATGTCGGTTTAAAACTGACTTTGTTTGAATAGCAAAAGATTAATCTAACTTTCAGTCTTGTCACACAAAGAAAGTTTTATTTCTATTGGAACAAAATTTTCAGAGAAAAACAATTAGTTTACACTGGCATTAGATTGTCAAATACTTTTTTCACAGTGAAGTTGCATTGCGAATATTATGTGAAATTTAAATTATGAGTTAGAATACACTACTTATTTTTACGTATTCTTGTTAGCTTCTTCCTAGTCTTTATAACCTTATTAGTTTATTTTTAAAATTTTCAGCGTTGCCAGATTATTCCATTTTTGTTGCACTTTCATTTTTTAGCACAAAAAATCGCAGTAACTTTATTTCTAAGTTCCGTGTTACAATATTTCATGGAGAGATAAACACAGGGACGCACTTTGTTATGGTAACAATTAAATAACATGTTAATTAAATAAAACTTTTCAATTTTCAGATACCGATAGTTCAGTTTTTCCACCCTGTATTT